AATACATAATAAAGATTTATTATTATTGAAATAAATTCTGACGTATTTATATCAATTTTCTGAAATTATGTACCATAAGGCGTATTGAGAAGGGTATCATCGTTATCTACGGAATTGTCATGTTCCTTCCATGTTTCTCCATTCTCACTTCGCAAGATAATAATTTCCCGTTCTTTTCCACGAACAGATGCAAAATGTGGTATGTCAATTAAGACGGGTCTGAAATAAATTTATTTTTATAATTTCAAATATCAGAAAGCCCATATTATATTTAGCATATTTTCAACATGTTTATATGTTATTATTAAAAATAAATATTTTATTTAATATATTTGATATAAAAAATTATATTTGATAATAAAGATCATATATTACCCTAAAAATCTCGCGCCCACCGGACCCATCTCGATAATTCGAGTAGCAAGAGCTTCTCCTTCCATCAAAGGAGGTGGATTCGCCACTTTGTTTGCCTTTAATAATCTGCATGTTACACGAATCGGCATCGTTGCTCTTCGAGGTGGTACAATAATTCTTACGCCGCTATGTCTACACCCCTTCATGGCACCACCACGTGCATCCACCAAGAAACTTATCAAAAATCTGTAAATCCGTGCATTTTCGTAAATCTGTGCATTTATTTATTTAAGTTGTTTTTCTTTTAATTTTTTATTTTATACTTACGATCTAAAATGCAATTTCCTGCAAAGAAAAACATATACTCAGATCAAATTTAAATAGAATTTTTTTAATAAAAATCTATTTTGTTATTGCAAATAAATAATTATTCTAAATGTAATATCTATTACATAATACATTATTTATATAAAGTTTATAATTATATAACTGTGAAATTATTAGCTTGTAAAAGAATTAATCGATCCTTACCCCAGATTCAGTCCATCGTTATCAAAATTTTCTGCTAAACAGTAATTATTGCTTTGCGTAAATTCTTGCTTCTCTTCTTTCGTAACTAAAATAAAAATATTTATAAGCCTTAGATATATACTAATTTTTCAAAATTAATTTATTTCACATTTTTTTATACATTTATATAATATTTTTTTATAATATTTAAAATAAACAGTTTAAATAAAAAAAATCTATATTTCTTACTTGGTCTGTGTACCGGATCATCTCTAGTAACATCGATAGGCAATGAATCATCTCTTAAACTCTTCATCAAGTCTGCTGTGAGATATCGATAAGGCTGTTCGCTAATTAATGCATCAGAACCTACAAAGGGAGATTCTTTTGTAAAAAATTCAATTATTAATAATTTCTTCATTACTATTTTTTATATTCGTGCATACAAACCTCCTTCATCATCCGAATCAGACATGAAACTAGTCTCTTGCAAACTTTCTGGAGCTATCACTTTGTACTTTTCCTCCCAATTTTTGTTATCCGGAGTCATGCTATCATAAGGCAATCCTTTTAGCACTTCCATCACAGAAATATATCCTAATTTTTGTGCTATGTTCAACGCTGTTAAGCCATCCTATGATTACAAATTTTATAAATTTATTAAAATCTGTTACTATTACATTTATATTTTTTAGTAATATTTTGTATTTTTTAGTTCATAATTTATTTTCATTTAAACATGTGTACATTTTTATAATATTTATATTATTTAAAAAAATAGCTTAAATAATTTAGAAACATATAGAAATTTAATTAACTAATTATTTCACGAATATAAGAATGTATAGAATTTTATAGCAATATTTACTGAAATTTAAATATTAATAAGTAAATGTATTAAAATATTAAAAAATGTTATTATATAATTATGTATACAATAATAATATGTTACTTACGTTAGTGCGTGCTTTATGTGAAGCATTTCCTTCTAATAAAGCAGTGACAATATGAGCATGACCTTGTTGGGCGGCCTGATGAAGTGGGGTATAATTCTGGTTAGTTCTAACATCAATTTCAGCATTATGTTTTAGTAAAAAGCGTATCATCGACAAATTTCCGAAATGCGCAGCAACGTGTATCGGTCTATAACCAGTTTCTGTTTGACTCTCAACGTCGGCTCCATTCTTTACTAAGATAGAGGCCACCCTAATAAAATCTTCTTGCGCGCACAAATGCAACGCCGTGAGTCCATTCTGATAAATAATGAAAAAATATATAATGAAAAAATAATATTACCATCATTTTTAATTTTACATTGTATAAAATAGATATTAAAAATAATATTTTTTAAAAATATGCCTAAAAATTTATTTAATTTATTTAATTTCAAATATTAATAGAATATTAAAATATTACAAATGTGGAAAATTAAAAAGATATTAGAAGATATTAAAAATAGTTTGAGGAACAATGCACAAAGTACAGATAATAATTTATAAAACAATTTTTAACATAAGTTATAAAACAAAAAATAAATATTAAATATAAAATCGCGTTTAATAACTCTGATTAAATTTTTAGATTTTTAGATTTTAAAATTTTTAGATTTAGAAATCGAGAGCCAGAAACGTAAAATACTTGAAAAAAAATCTAATTTACCTTGGCTTTGTGATTGGGATTGGCACCATGTTCAATTAGCAAATTCGTCATATCGTAATGTCCTTTCTGCGCACTCAGATGCAGCGGAGTGAAACCCGCTTTGGATTCTGCATTTGCGTTTGCTCCGTTCTCTAAGAGAGTAGAAGCAATGTCCATCTAGCCGCGTAAAAAAAATTGTTTTCGTAAAATAGTTATTTGCAGCAATAATAAAGATTAAAGCAGCGTTATATTCATGTATTAGAAAAAACATTTCATAATTTAAAATTAATAATTTTGATGTAAATTTACCTGATTTTTGCGAGCAGCAATATGTAGTGGAGTGTGTCCATTTTGCGATGCAAGGTGAGATGATGCTCCTTTTTCTAATAAAAGAGTTGCAACATTTGGATGATCATAATGGCATGCCAAATGTAAGGGTGTGATATCGTTCTGAAACGTCAAGCACATAAATTAATAAAATTCATTTGAAAGCCAAAAATATTTAATATTATGTAATAATATTAGATTGTGTAAAAAATCTCAAATTTTTAGAAAAAATTTCAAAAAACTATCATTTTGTGTAGAAATATACAAGATCATCTCGAGTTCTTTAGTTAGAAAACTTAAGAATTTCGAAAAAATAGCATTCTGTAATTGCTGATATAATGCTGATATACGTAGTAATATTAAAAAAATAAATTATTACAAATTATTATATGACAAAGAAAATTATATTCTTTCTTTTTGCTTAAATGTCTGAAAGCATTTTTTGCATAATTTGATGTAATTTACATACAACAAATATGCACAAACCTTTCCTTGAACATCAAGTTTGCTTTCTTTTTGTAAGAGTATATTTGCGACATTCATATTTCCGTACTTAGCCGCAATATGTAAAGGTGTAAAACCATTTTTCGTTGCAGCCTTGAGAGAAGCATTGTTTTCCACAAGAATGGCCGCCACCTGTTTATCAGAAAATTTTTTTGTGTTACGAAAAAAATTTTTTAGATCCGTTTTAATTTTTACTTGTATACATTTTAACATTACAGAATATATTTCTCTTTTAATTGTTTCAATAATTTCTTATTATTTTTAAATATAGATAATTTTTTTTTAATTTTTTATGAGAAAAAAAATTCTTTATATTATACAAAATGAAATTTAAAATGGTGTTATGTATTAAGAATTTAATAAAAATATTACGTTACCTTGCGTAAGAAAAATACTTATTACAAAAATAAAAAATTTATTGAGAATAAGTATGTTTGTACGTTTATACAACATAATACCGTTACAAAAAGTAACAATTAACTTTACAAATTAAAATTATTGCGGTTAAAATAATGTTTGTTTAATGATTTTAATCACATCCGTATGAATTCTACGAAAGTGTTAGTAAATTATTTATGAAAGGTGAAGAAATATAAGGGGAACGATATATTTGGTTTGACGCAACGCTTGACAATCGATATCAGGCCTCGAGAGGAAGGAAATAATTGCCAAATGTCACGGGGTGAAATTACGTCCAATCTGGCTATACCTTCGCGTAATGAAATTGTATAATAGAAAATATCTGGAAGGGGGAAGGGGAAAAGATAAGCGACGATAAGCAAAATGAATTTTCAGGCTGTACTTTGTGAAGTATGAAATTAATCAAGTAAAAATGAAGAAATAAGGTAACATAAAGAATAAACAATGTAACGAAAAAGTTTATTATATAACGAAGATACAATATAATGGAGATGGATAAACGTAACATAAAATATATAATCAACGTAAACAAAAGTACATTAACAAAAAATGTAAAACAGAATATGTGCGAGATGTGGACGAACGATGTGAACAATGTGCACAGGTAACGACAACGACAAACGTATCCGCAGCGGCCCTCTCCATCCTAAATGAGGTACTCGCGTTGCCGGGTCCAGAACAGATACGTTTTATTTTGCGTGGCGATGTAATTCGCTATTTGCACGCACTCATTGTACATTACCTCCTCTTGACCTTCCTTCGCCGCGATATGAAGTGCCGTGTACATATCTTTCGTAGCGGTGTCCACGGCCGCGCCATGCTGCAGCAGCAGCATAACAATATCGATATTTCCTAATCGTGATGCTATATGAAGCGGCGTTTGTTGTTCCTACAAAATAACGACAACATGATATTAGAAAATTCGAAGTTTCGTTAGCAAAGCATATGGAAGCGTGAAGGTGCGTGAAGTTGCGATGAAATCAGTAGAAAATTTTGTATTACGGATCACCGGTAAGCAACGTTAATTCTTAAAGGCACGAACTTTCTAATTATACAAAAAGCTGATTATTGATTTTACGTAGAGAGAATGTTTTTATTAAAGAGGCATATATATAAAACATTTATTTTACTATTTATATTTATTTTTATAAAATATTTTTTAAATATTAATACTATTTTTATAAAATAGTATTAATTTTCTTTAAATAAAATTATATAGATGGTTATTTTATCATTATGTAAATAAATATTTTTAAAATTAGATAATTATATAATCACAATTTAAAAAAAAAAATGTATATTTGCATTGTCGTGCCTCGAAGACTTAGTGAATTACTTAGAAGACTGTGATTACAGAAGTGATTATAGAAGAAAGCGTGAAAAATACTAGCCTCGCCTTATTTGCAACTGGAAGATTACACACTTCAATGTCACAAATTACCAGAATAAGAGAAGTTAAATTTAAACTTCGATATATGAGACTGGTTAATGGCTCATGCTTTAGTATAAAAGGGTGCGTATGAGTGATCATTTGTATGTATGATTTTTTAGATTTTTGTTTTTAGGAAAGGTATTCGCGTTATCGTTAAGTCAAGCAAGGAGTATCCACTGGCTGAAGGTCGAGAAAGCAGCAAAAAGGGCTTCAGAATCGATTTCGGAAATGCAACACGCTCTACTTACCCTTGCACGAGCATCGACTTTGGCACCATTTCTTAGCAAAATTCGAATAATGTCTGTTTGATTAGCTCTAGCTGCCAGATGCAGGGGTGTTTCACCCCTAACAGTTGGCACGTCAGGATTGGCTTCATGCTGCAGTAGGAATATCACGATATTCATACACCCCATAAAACTGGCCACATGTAATGGAGTCAGTCCGGACTGCAAAACACATGTATTGTCTATTAATATTTCGACTTCTCCATAATTGACTCCAAAATTCATTTTACCGATTTTATCGTTATTGTTATCAGTGTCTCGAAAACTAACGAAGAATAGATACATAAAAATGATCGTGATAAAAGAAGATTTACGTCGATTTTGTCAGTTTTATCATTAACGCACGACCCTTTAACCAGTCTTTGAGATTTACCGATCAATTTTATTTTTACGAGGCACAAAAGGATGAATAAAGATTATTTTTAATAACGTTAATCACCATTAATATACGTATTAATGTGATTTTTTTTTAATTGTACGAATGTATATCCGCGCGTTAAAACGATCATTTCTGTACAATTTTTTGCGATCAATATCACAATTTTGCTTCGTAATATTCCATTGAACGTTGCTATTGACACTGTGTGAAAACATTTGTGATTTATAGCTGCGAGGAAACATTTATGAAAACATGATTGCGAGATGCTTGATAGTGCGAACGAAGAAATGTATTGCGTTACCTCCGTGGTCGATTCAATGGATGCACCGTGCTTCAGTAGAAGTTCCACCACTTTGATGCGATTCTTCTTGCAAGCGATGTGAAGTGGTGTGAAGCCATTCAGAGCGCGAGCATTCGGATCGGCTTTACGATCGAGTAGCAATTTGGCGACTCTAACGTGTCCGCAGTGTGCGGCAACGTGGAGCGAAGTCAGATAATCAATGGTTACTTCGTCTACTGGCGCTCGATGGTACAGCAGTACTCTTGCAGCATCCACGTGATCTCCTTGAGAAGCCATGTGTAACGGGGCGAGCCCATTCTGTAAAAAAGATCATTTTTAACTTGAAACAAAAGATTGTACAGATACAGAAGTATAGATATGAAGTATAGATTATACGTAGATTCTAAACAAAGAATTGTTATCTGTGTAAATCACAAAGAGTTGCAAGTGTTAGAAAATATTAAAAAGTATTGTGCTGATTAAAAATCTTTGTAACTTTGAACATAACTGCAATCTTGATTTAATACAATTTTGACCTCTATTTATTTTCATAATCTAATTATAATATTTAACATAAAAATATTAAAAATAATAAAAAAAAGACAAGAAAAAATATATTTAGAACCTCTCAACTAATTGATACAAGAGAAAAGAGCAAATTAACAACTTGGCATTTGTTAAAATGTACCTTAGTACGAGCGCTAATCGGCGCCGAATTTTCAAGAAGCGTGCTGACAACTTGTTCGTGTCCTGATCGCGCTGCACAATGAAGCGGAGTTAAACCATCTCTGGTCTTAGCATCGATTTGCGCCGAGTTTTCTAATAATATTTTAACCATATTGTTCTTGCCCCACTTCGCCGCCACATGTAGCGGACTTATGTTATGCTAAAAAAAGACATTACATTCAAAAGTTATTAAATTATAATATTGAACTTAAAATCATTTAAAAAATAAAACTGCTATTTCTGAAATACATAATTTATTATTTTATTCAATATTAAAAACATATAATTCTTTAAATTACAGTTCTATATTCTTAACTAATTTTATTTTCAAAAACTTAGAGTTATTTTTAATATTATTTTTCTACTATTGTTTTTTAATATTGTTTAATTATTTTGTCTATTGAAATTGCTAAATGTATTTTACCTTAGCTAAGTAATTTACATCGGCTCCTCGTTTTATTAATAACCGGGCGATCTCTTCGTTTCCATAATGAGCGGCTATGTGAAGAGGGGTGAAGCCACTCTTCGATGTTACATCGGGTTTATGATCGTTCTGTAATATTACAACGATGTGATATTTTAATTTTCTTAATTATTTCGTATGTTTAATTTAATTAATTTTTATTTGCTATATCCGCAAATTTATATAAATCCGCTTTGGAGTTACCTGTAAGAGCAAGTCAGCAGCTTTGCAATCATCCTTCTTCGCAGCGATATGTAATGCCGGCAATCTGACCTTACCCTTAGAATCGTTTTCTAAAAGTACGCTGACTACCTTGTCGTGACCTTGCTGCATTGCCACAGCAAGTGGTGTAAATCCATCCTAAAAAATATTCGAATAATTTTAAAGAGTCTGAAAGTCAAGAGAGAAAAATTATCAGAATTATTCATTAAATTAAAATTTTAAAAACTTGGAGAAGCATAAAAAATTTTTATAACTCTTATTACATAATTGTATACAACTTCTTCTAATTAAAGATTTAAAATAATCCGAATTCTTCATTCGTTGTAAATAGATAAAAATAATCTTTATGGAACCAAAAATTGAGCTTATTGAAATTACAGTGATGTAAATCCTTAATTAAGTGATCTATTTTGAGAAAATAGATCAAACTTACTTCAGTCGCGAGACTCTGATTGGCTCCATTACTGAGCAGGAGTTTGACGACCTGGTCGTGATTCTCCTGCGCAGCCATGTATAAAGGAGTGAATCCATTTTGCGACTGGATATTAACCGCGGCTCCATATTGAATAAGTATATTGACTATTTCGGATTGACCAGCTGTAAAAAAGAATATATGAAATTATAGAAAAAATTATTCTTATTATTATGAAAGTGTGTTATGTATCACGAAAATTATCATTGTTTACCTAATGAAGCTATATGTAATGCAGTATTTCCTTTCTTCGTCGCCGCATCCACCTTTGCGCCTCTTTTTAATAATTCTGTTACTATTTCAACATGGCCATCCTTCGAAGCTAAATGCAATGCATTTAGACCATTCTGCAATGAGACACATATATTAAAACTTATCATTATTATAATGAAAAAATATTTAAATATAATTTAACAAATCCATTTAAATAAAAATAAAATGTAGCGATAGTATAAATAAATTTAAATGCTAATTAAAATTTATTTTATAGTTTTTAATATAAAATCTGCTAATCTTCGCTAAACTTATAATAGCAAAATTTGATAAATTAAAATTTGTTGTGATATATTAATATTTATAGTATTTTGCTTACCGAGTTGGCTGTATTAATATCTAAGTCAGTATCAAGAAATTCGATCACTTTCTCGAGGTTGCCGGACCGAGCAGCGCGAAGAAATGCTGTCGTGTCATCAGCCTAAATACAGACATTTTTTTCTGTAATAAACGGCTGCAGTGTCGAATCAGAAGGCAAATGGTGGAAGGATAGCGGCAAAGTAAAATAAAAAGAGGTAAAAATGCGTGTTGTTTGATATGGTTATTTATATAGATATATATAGATAAACAAGTAACCCAGTTTGTGACGATGACGCAACCTGTCTTTTTTCTTACTTTTACCCTCCCGCATTTAACACTTTGTGCTCATCATTATTATCCTTCTCATTAATCAACGTTACACTATATGTCATTTGCACTCTGAAGTAATGCAGAAATAGAAGCGTGTCAAATATCAAAGTCATCCTTTTTCCGTGAACAGGCTGGAAATTTTCTGGGATCTACGTAAAATTAAAGAATAAATTTTAAACTTAAAAAAACCTTAAAGAAATTTAAATCCATAACATACTCATAAGATTAATATTTAATTTTAGATGAGTAATTCATAATACATAATACGTTTTCTTACTATTATGAAATGTAGAAAAACAAAGAAAAATTTATTTAGTCGAAAACAATCAATTTTTTAGAAAAGAACTGAAAACTCCAACATAAAACATGATCAATTTACAATTTTAATTAATTAAATCGTGATTTTCTGATTTGTTTTTTTTTTCGAGAGACGTGAGCCTCATATATCTATCCCCTCTGTCTACAACCCTGCTGTGAATCATCGCGATAAGGGATCATATCGGCCAGGTGGTGTACCCCGCGCTATTTGTGCGCGCGTGTGCTATACTCTATCACCCTGACCTTTGACCGGTAGTAGCTCTTTCCAACTCCTATATTACATAGTGTCTAAAGAATAGCGCGTTTACGGCTTTTTGGTCATGATTGTTGCCACCGCATTCCTCTTTGACACCGATGCGCGCTGTATTCGTCGGCTGTCGCGCACAAATGCCCTATCCGGTCTATTTCTCGCTTCACCCCGGTAGCCCACCCTCCTTTCTGTTACCTCGGAAAAGCTTTATTATCCATGCGATATCGTGATTCGCTGTCATTGAAATTATCATATATAGTTGGAAATCTGTATTCAATTAAATCCGATTAATTCTGGATAATTTTTAATTTAGTAAATTACAATTTTAGTATAATATTATAAAAATAGTAAAAGCACACTTTAGCAAATTAGTAAAAAAGTCCGATTCTTATATGATTTTCACATGCACGTAAAAATAATTATGAGAATATGAGAAAAATAGAATAGTAGTTATTGTAATATATATTTTGTTTCAAATGTGTTGTCGGAAATTTATATTTCTACAAAAAGTGTTTCGAATCTCCGTTCGGATTTTTAGCAACGCATTAACAATTCCCGGCCGGCTATTGCGATTCTGACGTAACTGTATGCACATGAGTTTTTGAGGCTCGTGAATCGTAGCGTTGCGAGTTCGTTCGAAGAACGACGAATATCACAATTGATTTCTCTCTTTTTTAGAGCTAAGAATTAGAGATGCTCGAAAATTCCATGCTCATCGTCTACTTCGATCGGTCAGTTCAAAGTGGGCGAGGAGGGTGGTGCGAGAGAGGGTGTATACACGAAAGAAAAAGAGAGAGGAAGAAAGAGAGGAAGAGAATGCGAGTGCCGGCTCCGAATTGCTATATCGCCCTTCTGTTAGAGGCCGTACCTGACTGGTATTGTCGGTGACCATTGCGATAAATGGCTGGGCCTGGATAAACGCCTCTAGATTGTTCGGAACCCGACGTCGGCCGTACGCACGCACGCACGCACGCACGAAACGCTCGTCTCTCCTTCAGCACCGACCACGCACGTTACACCACCATTTGTGCACACATCCCTCGGGGGTGCGCACGGTAACGCCAGGAAGAGAACATTAGGCGGTAGGAGCCGCCCTGCGGGAAACACGCAACGGCGCAGAATCGAGCGACAACGATCTCGCATATAGAGGGAACACCACACGGGGGGGGTGGCTTGCACCGGGGGGTGGTTGCCGGCTCACTCGCACTCTCCCCCGAGAGGCACATGCGTCGTCCGTCCTTTCCGTCGCCGGTCCCTCTCGCGCCCTTCTACAATTCCCGCATTGTATCCGCTTTCTTTATCACTCCGTTATGCCGCGATTTTAACAATAGAAATCTTTTTTTTCCTTTTCCATCTTCCTTCCTTTCGTTTTTGGAAACTTGACAAATCATCACTTGGAATTGCACTCAGAATATACTTGTGTGTTCTATATGTGTACATTTTAAAAGATAATATCTTGCGAATAATATCTCTTTATATCAGTCTTATATTTGAAAAATACATGTATTTTTTAAATATGATCTAATATATATACATATGGAAAATACTTTGGATACCATTTTTGTAAAGAAATTGGAATTTATTTAAGATATTGTATTGATACTATTGAAAATTATTATTAAAATAGAGAAGTACATACAAAATTCTTTGTTGGTTTGTTTAATTATATCTGTGTATCTTCTTTACATAAAATAGATTTTTTTAATTTTTCCTCGATAGAAATGGAAATAATAAAATTCTTCAATATATTTCGCTTTCCAAAGAACTTTATTCCAAGATACAATAAACCTTCTCCTCACGTTTCTCATTTTATCTTATCACTCCGATCTTTCGTTCTATCTCATGTGCGCGATATGAAATGGTTTATAGAGGTGTTTATAGAAGTGCAATATGTATCGCCATAGGATCACCATTAGGCTTGAATTACCGACAGGGAAAGTGGAAAACGGTTTCTGTAAAAGAAACCGTACCGGTGAAGAAGCGCGCACCCTCTCGTGTGCAAGATACGAGGGGTTGCAAGTGATGCGTTTCGTATTCGAGTAGCCACGTGCAAACATCGTGTATGCCCCAAGCCATCCTTCTTTCAGCCGGCGAATATAAAGATAGCCGAATATTGAACTGAGAAAGAATGTCTATTCAACGCAAAATATTTTCTTAAATCACAAAAAAGACTGGAGATTGCATACAATTGTATATGTCAAACACAACTTTATAAATTTTTTTATATGCAAGAAATTGCAAACTACACAAAAGAAACTTAATACGACAGAAATAAAAAAATTAATAATTATTATATAAATAATGAATAAAGAATAATTATATAATAATTGAATATATTTTATCAAACTTCTTCTGAAATATTACTATAACTTTTTAATATTTAATTTCCTTTTTAAATAAATTCTTTAAATTAATACTAATCAATATCGTACAAAAAGATTTACTTAAGGTTAATGTTAATGATATATTAATTATATCAAAAGAAAGTTTTTTTCTTTCAAAGAATAATGACTTCAAATATATATCTTCAATTTAAGAATTTTTTTCGAGAATTTTAATAACGAGTTTGAGAACAATTTTATTCTATTGATTATCAATAAATGGATTTAAAAATTTTTACTTTTAGCTCTTTCTTCTTATTTCTACTTTTAATTCTACTATACTGTATGTCACATGTTATAAAATTATTGAATAACCATTAATAGCAAAAGTAGCACAATAATATGTTTATTTCATTGTTAAATATAAGTAGATATCATCAATTAATTAATCAACGTCAAATAATGTAAGATAATAATTCTATCTAGTTGGCATATCTAGTTGTTTATATTTACGCGGTATTACATTAACGTTATTATTTGAAAGAAATGTAATAATTTGAAAATATAAAATAATTCGAGTGTCACTTTGGTAAATGGTAACGTCAATGTCCTAAATCGCATCTCAAGAGAAATAAGCGGCATGTCGTTGCACATTGCGATCAATAAAATCTTTACAGCCGGTGCCAGTGTGTAACCACAAGTAGGAAGAACAACGTCATGTATGTATGCGCGTCACTCCGTCGCATACATCCCTCGATACAACCTTGCACTCGCGTGACTTCACCCAAGGCCGCGACCCCCCCGACTCCAGCACGCTGCCACACTTCTCGTACCCTTAATTCTCTTGCGCACCAATCGGCTGTGAGATTTCATGGATACATATAGAGGTTCTGCCCCTTATTATCGCGTTCAACAATTTATTTTTTGTACAGCATATCGTCGACAGTAATACTTGATCAAATTGACGTCAATCATATAGATGGAATTAAATTATTTTTATGTTATGTTCGAGAAGATAATTAAGTAAAAATTTTAACAAATACAAATTATTTCCTAAAGGAAAAAAAAAAAGAAAAAAAAAGAATTTTAGTAGAAGAGATTTCGAGAGTTAGAGAGAAATTTACGAAAAATAAAATATGAAACACAAACTTATTTTTTGAACAACAGTAAATATTAAAATAAAAGAATGATTCTGTGAAATTATAGAGGCAAAAATTTTGACATAACGTTCGACACTACTTTTTCGAAGGAATAACGTTCCAAAACATTCTGACAAATTATTTCTAAAAATAGTAGTCGAACTATCGCTTATTGGACAGTATCCAATAATCACCATGAGCAAAGCTCGATAACGAAATGTCAGCTGATTCGGTTACTTGATTAACTGTTACTTTTATACTACATTAATCTACATAATTTTCAAATATTAATAGTTAATCTTATCATTTTTCGATGTACCTGTACAATCTCGCATTTGGATATATTTAAACATTATTATTGCAAAATATATCAATAGTTAATTTAACAAACACGTTTACTGATGTCAGCGATAGTGTTTATAAATCTCGAAACTACAGGCAATTATTATATAAAACACTTAATTTCAATATTATTTTTATATTTCGCATACGCAAAAAGAAATTTGGAAAGAAAGTTAAAGATAAAAGTTACGTTGTAAGAATGATGAATGTTAATTGGTTTTTACCTGAAGCCTAATGATCGGTGGGAAAGCGTCTTCTTTCGTCATTACTAAATAATAAACTGTATATTCTCTTTGACAAACTTTACGTACACGCACGCTGTGTAAGCACCATGCTGAAGACGTAGACTGCTGGATATTAATAGAATTGTATGTTATTTTTGTTAAACTCTATGCTATATGTCATGCCTTTGTTAAGTAACTGTTACCATTAATATTCGAAGCAATCAAAAAAACAAAATGTAAATGTAAACAATCAAAATGTATTATTACTTAATAATACTTAAGATAAATAATTAAGATAATATAAATTTATTTATAATTATTATAAAGTTAATCGAAACTAATAAAATATGACACAAATCAGTTTTATATACTATTTAAAATTATAAAAAAATGTTTATAAAAAATAGTACGTATATATTTTTGTTACTGTAATATTATATAATATTATAGTAACGGTTGAATATTTTTAATAATAAAGAATTTTTTTATTCATTTGTTAATTATATATTTATGTAAAAGAAATATTAATTCCACCAGAAACTGACCGAGAAACTCGGAGTAAGGGCGGTTACGTGATGCCACCATTTTGGTGGAATATATAACATTTCTCCAGGTTTTAAATAAAATGTCATGCCACTAGCTTTACGAAAATTTGGCCACTTATCATAATCTGGTCTTACAGGATCTACTTGCGCAGTATTGTTAAGTAACCTAGTATCATAAGGATACAAGTTATTTGTCTCGGCGGGAGAATATAAAATAACTCTTTTGTAGCCAAATATCTAAGATATAAAAATTATTAAAATTAGTAAAAAAACTTTTAATATATAAATAAAATATTTAATTAAAAATATTGTTTTACCTGAGAAAGCAAATTATTTTTTGGATCAAAATGCAAAGGCGACACTGTATTAGCCGGTCCGAACCAAGCATTTATATCAATTTCCGCATCATTTTCCTCACTATCCAAAAAACAACAATACTCCGGTACTTCAAAATCCTTTTTTAATTCTGGTATCTAAAATTCTGATATGAACTTAAAAATGTTTTTATAAAGCTTACGTTGAATGCAATGAGCTAATACCTGTTCGAACAATTGATGCTGTGCTAAATAACCAATTTCGCTATTATTTTCAATAACATGTTTTTGTAAAAATTCAGAAAAATTAACAAGATGCTGCGTCCAATCTTCTTCAGTATAACGAGATCCAATTTCAATTGGTACCGTCCTGGATCCTGCGATCTTATTCAAATAGTTAGGATTTTTCCATAATGTTAAAGCTTTCCAATGATGTATACAGCCTAATGAAATATATAAGATTAATATTTGATTTTTTCTAAAATTTTTAAAAAACATACATTAGATGTTACATATTTATGCTATTCACAGAAAAATTCAAAATTTGTTACGACACATATTTATGATAGAAAATCAAATATGTTA